AAATCCCTTTGGTCGGTGAGCAAACAACTGCACCTGTGAGGAAAAATGGTAAAGGGAAAAAGAAACAAATTGCTAAAAAGATTCCAATCTATCCTATGGCACCATTAGAAAGCCCTACCATGAGCACCAAAAGCAAGAAAACTGATCCAGCAAGCCCTGCCATGGGTACTAGAAGCAAAAGGAGACTCAACTTGTGATTCTCGCCAAAAACTTATTATATGTATGCATGTCGACTTGATGTAATATTTGAACATATATATGTACGCAAACATTAAGAGTGTAGGTAGCTATGGACCATTTCTATTTGCTACAAGAAGTGAACTGTTTGAACCAATTTATATTGAGATCTCATTAGTGTTTATCTATATAATGTGGATGAATTTTATTGCACAAATAATGGAGACCGTCAATACATCTTTTTTTTGATAAATTTTAACCACAGTAGATAAGAGATAATATGGATGAATTACAAAGCTTAGATAATGCATATTATCATAACAAAATTATTTCCAAATTATAATATAATGTGGATGAATTTTAATGTCAAAACAAACCATACAAATACTCAGTGTCATAGAGGTAATATTGTAAACATCAAATGAAGCAGGGCCATACAAGTAATCAGCGCATTTTTCTGCAACAGGGGTATTATGGACAATTCGCATGGCACTTAATGGTGTTAGGGTCCAAAACCGACGATAGTGTCATATGGGTCATTAAAATTCGAAGACGGGGCCATACAAGGAATTTCAAAGTTTGCAGGGCCATACAAGGAATAACTGAGTTTAACAGGGCCATACAGATAATTTTCTCAGCTGCAAGCCGCATACACGTTTTGCTTCTCCCAAATACAGTCCTCTCCCACTCTCCGATCCCCAAGTTCTGCAGTCCCAAGTCCTGCAGTCAAAGCACCGCCCGTCGATGGCGTCTACGCCCACTCAATCGAGGTCTGGACCTTCGGTGATTCGCCGCGGCCCACCGCCGCTCTCCTCTCCTCCTCGTGGCTGCACCGCAGCCCTCATTTGCCCCCCCTCCTGCTCCTTCTCACCGTGGCCCTTGCCGCCGCCACAGCCTTCGTCCTACTCCGCCCACCCCTCATTGTCGTGACCGTCCGCTACCACGTGGGCGCTCTATAAGCTCCCCCAAGCCCATGGTGTTGCTCATATCCTCGGATGTCTTCCACTACGGGTATCAGTACAAGGTTCCTCTCTCGCACATCGCCGCCTCATCGTCGGCGCCGGCGCCGGCGTCCTCCTCATCACCTCCTCCTATAGATAGAGACGGCAAGAGCGTCATGGCCGTGCCGTACTTTGCGACCGCCTCGAGGCTCGCCAGACATGGTGGTCGCCGTCCACTAGAGTGTCGCGCCTGACATATTGCAAGCATATGTTTCAAGTGTTTCAGGTGTTTTATATGCATGTTGCAAGTGTTTCATGTGGATGTTGCAAAAGTAGATCAGGATGTTGCATATGTTGTAATGGCTATACACGTATGTTGTAAGAGTCTGATCCAAACGTTTCAGCTGTTTCAAATATATGTTTCACGTGTTTTATCTAGGTGTTGCATATGTTTCACACTTATGTTGCAAGTGCTTCATTCGGATATTGCATAAGTTTCACATATATGTTGCAAGTGTTTCATCTAGATGTTGCATATGTTTTGCAATGGCTACACAAGTGTTTCTCTCGTGTGTTCACACGTATGTTGCAAGTATTTTAAGTATTTCGGACGTATGTTGCAAATGTTTCCTCTAGATGTTATAAAAGTAGATCTGGTGTTGCACATGTTGCAGTTGGACCCCATCTGCAGCTCCCGTTTGCTGCAGCTACTAGGCCCGCCTGCATGCACGTAGGTGTGGAGGGAGTGTGAGCGGCAGGCGTCGGGAAACCATGCGGGGCCAGATCGAGACGGAGCTGCGCAGGACACGAGGCGGGCGCGGGACACGGGGCGGGCGTGGAACATGGAGTAGCGCGGGACATGGTGCGGGCTCCGGACACAGAGCAGCGCGGGCCCTATGTAAAGCAGGCGCAGGTGTGTGTGCAGACAGTCTGGACACTAGTCTTTCGTCATTTGCTTTGCCCTTTTTGTCATCAGTATAGAGCATGTCAAATAGAAATAGCCATCAGTTTCTAGATTGGCCCATTTACATTTGCTTGGCCCTTTTCGTTATCAGAGTTCACTTTCTATCTATACAAAATAAAGAGACTAAGAACCGAGTATCACCGAAACACAAATTACTTTATCAGAAGAATGGGAAACATATAGTACGTACAAGCGCGCAGCTTACTACTCGGGCGTGCGGGTTTGAACGAATTTTATTTTGACGGTTGGTGGGTTCCTCACAAGCTACACACACAGGAGGTACAAGGATGGAATCACGTAGAGTGATACTTCACCACTCTGCAGTTAGTTACACCACACTGCAGTTTACTGATGGAAGGGACGTAACGCCTATGAGGGGGTGAATTAGATAACTTAAAAATCTAACTCTAAACTATGATCTATTTTTCTATCATTAACAAAAACATATGTAAAAGATAAACTATCTAAATGTGTAACTACGGTTTTGCTAGTGTGTTGCTATCTCTACCGTAAAAAAAGGGTTCTACAAACAATATAAATGCGGAAGCCAAAGACTAAGGTAGAGATATGCAAACTTCCGTTGACGACTCTGGTATTTTTACCGAGGTATCGAGAAGCGCGCAAGCTTCTCCCTAGTCCTCGTTGGAGCCCCTCACAAGGAATCCCTGGCAAGGGCCAAGCTCCTGGTCAGGTAACTCCGTGGATAGCCCCGAACCTTCCCCACGCGTAAGTGGGTCTCCGGTGTGCCTTCCGGCAAGCCTCTCCCGGACCGCTCCCCGCCGTCTTCCCTATCAAGCTTGCGGCCAAAACGCCGCGGGTCTTATTTTCTCCAGTACATGGTGGCGCCCACACCACAAACGCGGTTGGTGTGATCTCGCAAGACTACAAGCCCCTCTGATGTATAACAATGGTGCGCGCAAGCACCGAGTGGTAAGAGGTATGTAAACCATACTAAACACTAGGTCTAAACCTAGAGCAAGCGCATAAGTAGCGGTCTAATCAACCTAATCACTTCGCAAAGCACCTATGCTAATCACCTAATGTATCACTAAGCACTATGCAAGTGGAGATTACTAAAATGGTGTATCAACACCCTTGGTATGTTTTCTCAACTCTCCACTTCTCAAATGGTCGGTTGAGGATCTATTTATAAGCACCATAGAGAAAGTAGTCGTTGGGGCTAAAACCTAGCTTTGCCATCTTGACCGACGCCGTCGTCCCGACCGACACGTCCCCGTCATCCCGACCGTTGAAGCGTTGATTGATCGGACCTCGGCGCCGAGTCCCACCATCGACGATCGGACGCGGCGTCGTCGCTACTGGCGCCGCTCGAACCTCTTTGGACTTGATCGGACGCTGCAGTTCCTGCGTCCGATCGATCACCCTCAAGCGTCCGATCGATGCTGAGCTATTGTCGTGACAGTGAACAATGTCATCGTCGCGTCCGGTCACTGCTGCTCAGCGTCCGGTCACCGCTATGGAAACTCGTTTTTTCGCGATCTTGTGTCCAGCTAGGTTCCCATTTTCGTGCTTGGACTTTGTTTAATATCTTGAGTCTTCTCTTATGCTTCTAGGGTCTTGCTTATGGTGTTGATCGTGGGATCATCATGTCGCATTCGTCCAAGTCACGTCTTGCACCCTATTAAACTACAAAACAATTACTTACAAATTTATTAGTCCAATTTGGTTGTGTTGATCATCAAACACCAAAATCCAAAGTAAATGGACCTAGGTCCCCTCTCTTATACTCTGGACACAGATACAGTATGTCGCGACGTTGTTTGCCCGTTTCTACAGTTCAGTTCAGTAGACTAATACTTCATTTAGCATCATTTACTGTTGAACCAGCTAGTAGGCAAAGATTGTCAAGAGAAATTTAAGCCTGAAGATAGTCAACTAGGGACTATGAAATTATGAAATGGTTTACTAGGTCAGGCGAGACGGCACTATGAACAGTGAGAAAGATAACAGACATGTGGCACATTTCCATATATAGATTCGCATTTCCTGGAACCTGCAGTAAGCAGCACCACAATATTTAAAAGATTCCAATAAGAGAGGGTAGGGCATAACCACAGCACAGGAACGAGCAGTGAGCTGAACAAATCAATTGAATCTAGACATAACATCACTATCACGATCATCTAGAAAAGTAACATCACTGTCACGAATTTGTCACAGAAAAGAAACACCCTCAGCAATAATTAGGGATTGAACTAAAATGCCAATAATAACCTTTTTTTCTGCCGCTGTTTGACAGCATCAACGCTGATAACATGCTCAAAGAAGCACTCAAGAAACTTCTTCGATATGCATGGCAGTTTTTAGCGACACAAGGTTCACAATGAGCCTCCACGTATTTCATTGACTACCTATATATCATCCCAGGTTGGAAAAACATACAAGTAGGTATTTCTTTGACTACCCAGCTGACAACAGTTTGAGCGTTCATTCACAAGTTAGCAACTCTTTTGGCTTTGTGACTTCAATAACACTACTCACAGCTCAATTTCCCTTGTCCTCAAATAATTGCAGAAGACAGAGATGGTGGATCCCCTGGAAGTTATCTGTTCAGTGGTTGCACGAGAGATTTTACAAAAAAATCATCTCCCCATTGATAGAGAAGTACAACAACCAGAAGGACATCAAAGAAAAGCTGCTGCAGCTGTGATAGCTCCTCATCACAATCCACGCCGCCCTGGAGGCAGCCGAAGGGCAGGCCATTACTAACTCATGGCTGCTCCGCTGGATTCGTAAGCTTGAGGATGCAGCGTGTGAAGGAGGGCAGGTCCTGCATGACTGGAGATACCGCACTGAAGAGGTGAATTCTGCCATTGTCAATTCCAGCAGCACTTTCAAACGTATCAAGGTTGCTACTGCACAGTTTCTGTCATGCAAGGAAACAACCATTAGCATAGATGCCACCGTTTAAGAAGGTCGAAATAGTTGCTGCAGGCGCTATCAAGTTCATTGAGCTTCTCAAATTTCAGTGCAACCAGGCTGTGGTGCATCGACCGATCATCATGTATATGTCCATGCATGAGAGGGTCATCAACCGAATCAAAGAGAGGAAGTGCGCCATCGACTTCTTGCTGAAACCAGCTGCATACCAGATCTGTAGTACCTATCTAAAAAGGTTTGGTCATAGATCAAGAGCCATATCATCAATCCCATATGGTTGTATTGATAGGGATATTTCACATACGGTATACAGGAAAGCAGCAAGGCTAAGAACAGAGAGATTTCTACTTGTTCTTGATGGTGTTTCTAGCTACCCCCGTGCAATGGATGACATAGTCATAATATTATTGGGGGGTAGCAAGGCAGGAAGCAAGGTCATCATTACCACCATATATGATCCCTTGGCAAAAAGGATGGATGGGTGCCATATTCTTTCTGTAGAACCCTTGCCAATGGAAGACCTTGGCTACCTGTTCATGGAAAATGCATTAGGCGGTGAACATCCTGAAGAATACCGGAAACTACTAGTTATTGGGAAAGAGATTGCTGAGACCTTAAGAGAATGCAGTCCTTTGGCAACAAAAGTTGTGAGCGGACAACTAAGAGACAATCTCAATGAGAAGTACTGGAGCACTGTCTTGAGACACTGTCAGCAATTAGTTGCACCTCGTTCCAAGTTAAAACCTTTCATTCTAGGTTGCAAGCTTCTGCCTCACCACCTACAAAGTTGCTTTGGAATATTTGGTACGTACCCACGCTGGAAGTTCACACATGAGGACTTGATAAGCCTGTGGGTGCGCAACGGTCCCATCAGCGACAAGGGTAGAAAAACCAGCATAGAGAATGTTGCAGCAGAATGCTTTGATGACCTATTGAGGAAAGCATTCATACAACCAAACCAAGTTTAAGGGTTATACGAAGTGAATGATATGTTAAGAGACATAGCCTTGTACATAGGTCCAGTGCCTCATCCAAAAACAAGAATGTGCAAGAGCAGGAACAAAAATTATCAAACTAGCAGGATTATAGATCAGAGTCTAGTTGAAGTCAAGCTATGACATGGTATTTGTTTTCTGTACCATTTACACTTGTTGGTTTAATGTTAAAGACTGGACCAGGGGGAAGACATCCCTCTGATTTTGCCCTTAAGGGCATGTACAACGGCGTTGTACGTGCCCTAAGAAGTTTGTGCCAGCCTTCGAACTTGGACTGGTGACAGGTTTCTCGACCCCCGGACTTCAACAGTCTAACCAGTGTAACTCAGGAGAAGTTGGCTTGTTGGTTTATAGTTATCTGTTGCCTTTACAGTTCTTGGTTCTATTAGACTGGGCACTAGGCTCCTAGCCTAATTTCCAGTTGGATCTGTTTTCTTGGATGTATAATATACAAGGAAAAGCATCATTGGTGTGGTGGTGGAATGTGAGTATGTGACCAGGATTCGAAGTTTGGTGATCATCTCTTTTAGATATTTATTACTCCCTCCGTCCTAAAATATAAGATGGATAATATTCTGAGTTTGTTCTAAGTCAATCTAAATTTGACCAAATTTATAGAAAAGAAGAATAATATTTATGCCATCAAATGCATCATTGGGTACATTATAAAATACATTTTCATAATTTACAAATTTGATAGTTGATGCTAATGTTAATAATCTTCTCTATAAACTTGGTCAAGCATAGCATAGTTTGATTTAGAACAAAATTCAATCCCCTGTATTTTAGGATGGAGGGAGTAGATGTCTTTGTTCATTCCTAGTTGGTGCAGAGGTTGGAAGTCACTTTCAGAACACAAGTGTTCAAAACGTTTAAACTTTTGGCTATGGATAATTTTATGTCTCCAAGAAGATTCATATTTGAAAAAGAAAACAATGTTTGTGTATTTTTCACCAAAAGTTCATTAATATAATACTACAATTATACTAAGTTTTGTAATTATTGTAGAATTCTCTTTCAAAAAAATAATTAATGTAGGCGAGGGTAAGGCTTGCCATTGACACCCTTCCCCAGACCCTGCACAGAGCGGGAGCTCTGTGCACTGGGTACTCCCTTTAGAATTTGTTGGTCAAAGTCATCTTTTTGGAGACCATGTCTTTTCCAAAATGACTCTGATTTGTGATGGATAGAGCAATCATTCAGCCATTTGCGGTTGACATTCCTAACTGAAGCAAAGGACATACCATGGGATGGGAAAAAAAAAACTTACAAGTTTGTTTGACACAATGCCCCTATTGGAGTGATTTGTCGACTCCAATGCTTCTAAACAGTATACTGCTAATTTAGTAGTCTCATCTTCATGAATAATCAACTTACATGATCCGCATCGTGGAGAAAAATATCCAAAGTGACATGAGAAAATAATTTGAGGATGTCCATACACAATACTATGAGCATATATAACAATACAAAGATCTAAAGAATATATAAAGACAAAATCCAGTTTCCTTTTTCCTTTTTCGTTCCTTTCAGAATAATCAGCATTCTGGCAACTAAGTTACGATATTTCCAAAGAAATGTCAAAAACAAATGCAGTACAGAGTTGCAAGAAATGCCTTGCCACAACATTATTTAACTTACATTGGCATTGAAGATTTAGATAGGACACTCCCACTGATCCACAGTTCAGTCCAGCCCCACCACCTGAGGTGAGCACAATAAGTCAACACCCACGAAGCAATGCACTCTTCCCTAAACACAAGACAATAAAAACAATGCAGTAGCCACTAGCTGCAAATAGGAACAGCATTCCTTTTGTAGAGAAACAAAATGACCATTTGGTTCAACACATGAATTAACCATTTGCAAATGGCACATCGCGAATAGTTACGACAAATAGCCTAGTCAAGAGGCATAAATATTAAACGATGTTCGAGAAAAAAAGTAGGTATAAATGGTATCCTTAATCTCCCTTATCAACACGATAGGGCCGCAGAAGGAAAACAGCATGGAGTTTCTACTTGTTAAGTGTATGAAGACTCACCTACTACAGGGCCCTGTCTCCACTAAGGGAGACTTCTTCAACATCTGTTATTTCATAAGGTTAGTAACACAACTAAATCTTGCTGCAACAAATCAAAAATTAACTTCTCTGTGGAGCTCCGTTGCAACTCCAATAACCAACTCTGCAGCAATAAATCCAACAAGCAATGAACCAAGTAACTTCTGATAAAAAATGTGACATCTACAGGAACTAGATCTAAGCATCAGAGGTCCCCAACTCTAGCCAACTGTCTGTTGAAGCAAACCATCAGTCAGAATGGAAATATTAGTCGAGTCACTATCCACGAGTCAATGACAATTTTGTGCTAGTCTAGCTGAAGAAAACCATCGTAATCATAAACTAATGAAAGCTGAGACAGAAATCTACAATTTGTGTTGTATGCTCCCTGGTTTCCATCTAATGTAGTATAATAAGAAAACAATTATTCACTATATGCAATCAAGAAGTGCGAAAAAAGAATACTAATAGAACATCACCTTGTTTGGTAACTGTATTAACCGGCCGGAGCTCCAATAAACTAATTATTACTAGACATCTCACATGGCATCGTCGCGACATGTGGAATTGAAGACATAATTCAAATCCAAGTTTCCAACGGTGCATATATGTGGGAAACTGACACATCGAAAATAGATAGATAAGCAAAAAGATAGACCACGAAATCAAATGATGGAATAATAGTATGAATCCTGAAATCATGCTTGTAACCAGAATCCATTGTGTCGACGCGAGAAATCAATCAATAACTCTATTTCTGATGGAATGTCAGAATGTGATACGCGGCACAACTCAGCTTCTACACATGGTTTTGGACAAACTTCTGTTGAAGGGATCAAGGGAAGGGTGGCAACTGGCAACGGAATCCGATATCCCACAAGTAAAGCTCAGTGGATCTATGGAGGTGGCGGCCCTGGCGGGTATCTGACTGACGATGGCCGCGACATGTGACTTTGTGAGGGAGCGAAATTGGGAGAGGAAAGGGATCAACAGAGATTAGTAAGATACCTCTTAGGGCTTAGAGCGCCGGCATTCCTCGCAGCCTTGCAGTTCACCGACGGCGGCGCCGCCGCGACACTCCGCCGAACAACGGGAACTACCAAAGGGTTGAAGACTTCTTTCAGAAACGCACCCCCAAAAGGAGCATCTACACTACTTCTGAAGCCTTGAGGACCCATGTGTAAAACAGTACATGAGGGCCTGACCGCCTGAGGCCTGTCACTGTGGGAAGCCCACGCACGCGCAGGCGCAGACCATTCCACGGCGGCGTGCGCGCGTACGGAGAGGGACGCAGCGTGCACATTACCTGTTCGATGGAATGCCGCAGCATTTCGGAGACCTTGCTGCGCGCCAATGCCGCGCTCTGCGTGATGGCGCCGGCCGTCTGCAGGCTGCGCGGTGCCCACCGCCGCAGCATTCACTTCGCGCCAGGCCCGTCCTCGCCCGACGAGGACGATGTGCGAGACCGCGCCCCGCCTCCGCGGCGCTGGCACCGGGCAGCATACGCCCGGCTCCTCCGGCATGCGGGGTCACTGGCGGGGGTCGACCACGCGGGCGGCCTTCCGCGTCACGGGGCGACGGGATCCGTCGTCTCATGCCCGCACGCCGCCGCCCGGGCCGCGCACTTTGACGCGCTCGCGGGTGAGTTCGTCGCCGCCGCCGCCGCGAGCCGCGGCCACCCGCCGCCGAAGATGGAGGCGACGTCGCTGAGCTCGCTGACGCAGGTCTGCGACGTGCTCGGCGTATCGGCGCAGCGGAGGAAGAGTGTGCGGCTCACCGTCTGCCCGCAGGTGACGCAGCACCACGTGTGGCGGGGCGCACTCGAGGCGGTGCTCGGGGATCTCCAGGCCGACATGGCGTCCCTGGACAGACCGTCCCTGGCGACCCAGATGGCCGAGCAGATCGCGTCTGCCTGCACCCGCTTCCTGTCGGAGACGGCGACGTCCTCGTCGCCGTCCTGGATGCGCCCGACGCCGTTCAAGAAACCAGCGGAACCGCCGCCTCCGGCCAAGAAGTGGCAAGAAGTGCTGGACATGTTTACTGACCTCGCCAGGAGCCTGGAGACCGAGGATCGACTCAACGGGCACGCGCAGAAGGTGGAGGCCATGAAGGAGGGGCTGTACCAGATACGCGATGTCGTCATTGAGCGGGACATCGCCTTCAAGGAGGCGCGCCGGCAGGACTGCCTGGTGCAGAGGAAGCTGTCCAAGAGCCTGGGGCACTCCTCCAGGTGCCTGTACACGCTGCTCCTCTTCTACCTCTATGGCACCGTCCGGGACATGGAGGTGCATGTCGGCAAGTGCATTTCTGGCAAGGGAGGCAGGAATGTCGCTGTTCACGCTGCGCAATTCCTGACCGACGGTGATGAATCGACGATCAGGAGCGGTATCAAGAAGCTGAGCCGCGCTCTCGGTATCTTCCGGTTTGTTTGGGAGGCCGCGAATACTGACTGTGATGCTGCCAATCACAATGGCAAAGATGTTGCGGTCAAGAAAAAGAATGAAGATGCAAAGGGTGTCTTGGAGCTGCAAGGTCATCTCTGGAGCTTCGGTGTTGAGAAGACTCTGACATACAGAGGAGATGTGTTCCAAGTGCATCAGATTCAATTACCATGAAATCTACTTTTTCCAACACATCTTGTGCAAAATTTAGCCATATGGACAAAACATATAGAGGTGCGATCTGAAATGCTACTCTTTTTCACTAGCTCTTCTCTGAATTTGTACAAAGGCGATGCAACTGCATCCTGGGTGAAAGATACATACAGAAAGGGCAAAAAAAAAAAAAAGGAGTTCCTTTTGTTCCTAACATAAATTATGGAACACTTTTTTCCCTGCCTGTATTACTTCTTTTTGGAATCTCTACAATCTTCTTGGAGAATCAAAAGATTGTGTTTTCAGCTGAGAGATTTCGAGCCATGGATCTGTGAGAGATTTCGGGTAGAGTGCATTGTTGATAGGACTGTAGTTGGCTGCTCCAGCTGAATAGGCTGGATGAGGAGGGGATGGCAAGCAACTTCGGTTGGACTGCCTGTACTGCCGTAGCGGGCTAGAGCAGGGAGAGACAGGCAGCGACATGTTCATCCGAACAGTGGATGGGTTCCTGGACAGAAAAAAATCAGTTGAGGCACAATTCACAATATGTAAATTGCAATAAGTCTGACAAAAGGAGAACATACAATGCTGTGATCCTGCGACTTGATGTCGAAGGAATGGGGGATGTTGGTCCTGGCAAGTTTCTTATCATGATATCAGGATCTCTTAAAGGAGATAAGCTTCTGTATGATGAAGTTGCAATCTTCACCTGGAGAAAAAAAACATGCAATTAAGAAATCATGAAGGATACATGGAACCTTGAAATATGATCGATGTGACAGATTGTAATATATACATGCATATCTTCCATCATGCTTTAATACAGAACACATGCCGATTTCATAACAGAGCATCTATTTGACAATATTAGTCCCAAAATCATAGGGAGTATGTGGAAGTCGTACCATGCTGTTTTTTCCATCAGTTGAAGTAGGATACATATCCCTCGTGATGCCAGACCTGGAACTCCTGACTGTAGCATGGTCCTTGACAAAAGGGTGATCCATCAGCTGAGCAGCTGTAGGGCGGGCAGCAGGATCACGCTGCAAGCAGAGTTTGAGGAAGCTTTTCGCCTCAGAAGAAAGATTATCTGGGATATCAGGTAAGTCTTTGCTGTTCCCAATTTTGAATATTGCTGCCACCTGTGAAATCCATCCAAAGATTAGCAGATAATCAATGGAAGAATAAGCATCATGATTGATAAGCATGTAAAAGTAATTGCATCCATTAAGTCAATAACTCACCCCTTCATACTGACTCCAAGGAGGCTTTGCTGTTGCCATCTCAAGAATGGTGCAGCCAAGGCTCCAAATGTCTACTGAAAGGCTGTAACCATTGCTATTCATAATAACCTGAATTTTGACATGAAAAGAGAGAATTCAAGCCTTTAGTTGCTGTTCACTAGGGAAGAATCAACAAGATACTTCAAGTTCAGTAGCCTCACCTCTGGTGCCATCCAGTAAGGGCTCCCTTTGAAGGATTTGATAGATGTATATGCTGATATCTGTGTAAATATAACAGATTGTTGATTAAAATTATAAGATAAGAAAGCCAGGCAGTTAACTATTGAATTGTGAGATGATTGACAGAGTTTACCACTTACGTGCTTGGCCATACCAAAATCAGCAAGCTTGATGTCACCATTAGGATCAACAAGTATGTTTGCCCCTTTGATATCCCTGTCAGAAAAGTAAACTTTCATTCATAAGTAAAGACGCTAAGACTGACATGCAGTTCCACAAAAGAATAAAAGACAACTGTATCTTATATATTGATGATGGTAGTGACTGCCAAATACCTATGCACTGTATTCCGCCCATGCAAGTATGCAAGGCCAGAAAGGATTTGTGCTGTGTAATTCCGAAGAACTGCCTCCCCGAACGGACCATATTCTTGAAGCAACTTATGGATAGAGCCCCCAGAAACATACTCGAGATAGACCGAGAGTGTCTCATTGCACTGCATTGTAGCATAAAACACACATATTAATATGACCGTTGTATCAATGCTTAATTTCAAGGCTGTAATTGCACCGCTTATGAGTGTAATGATGGATTATTATGTAATCACAGGAGATCAATGTTAATTCAGTAATTACCAAATCACTGCCATAGTACTGAACAATGTTTGGATGTGACAGCTCTCTCAGCAGCATGATTTCCTGTACATATCAGCTAGTGTCAGTACGAGAAGGAAATACAGTTTCTTCTACATAATTGATGCCGATATTTACAATATTTTCATAGTATATAATCACCTGATTTAGCTGCCTGAGGCACTCTTTTGAGTTAGAATCATCTGAAATGACCTTAACCTCTTTAATTGCACACATTTGACCGCCTTCACTGCATAGCATATATTTTGAATATGAGTCTGTATGGTGTTAAAACGAAACAAATATTACTCATCCGAAGAAATGTGAGAAAAACACAATGCTTCAAAATCAAACTAAGTACCTGTTGAATCCCATGTATACTTGCCCAAACGTCCCACTACCTAGCAACTTCCCCTTCTTCCACTGTAGAGAACGGGAAGGCAAGCATGGGGAGCCTGGGGGAAGAGGAAGAGGTTGGGGTGAGCTTGAGCTTCGTGAATCATCCTGCCATGAAGTAGGAGATGCAGGGCATTGCCCAAATGTTCTTGATGGCACAGGGGAATTTGAATAGTGATGTCCTCTTGAGCTAGGAGAAGTGGGCACTTGTGTACTGAACACAATTTCTGTTGATTTCCGACCACGACAGTATGTAGTTCGATCATTTGCAAGATCCAAATTTTGAAGGTGAAATTCTTTCCTTGGGGAAACTGATGTTTCAGACAATCGGGTATGCTCCACAGCCCGATTATTGGTGAAAATGGTCCCATCTGCTGGCACATAACTTTGTTTCCGAGATTCAATTGCTACTGTTCTGCCCAGAAGAGTGCTGCTTGTTTCTGACAACCTATGAAGTCAGACATAGGAAATAATTTTCAGATGAAATACATGTCTTTCATAAACAAATAGTACTACTTTGTCTTTACATCCTGAAGATATCGTATCTCAATCAGTAATATTTTTTACTAAAGAAACACAATTATTTGCTTAGACAACTATTCCATCCTACTTTGTAATCATGCAAGGATACAGAAAAAAGGGAATAATTTTCTCAAATAAAAAATGTCTTTAATGAATGAGGTATGTTTGGATTAAACATTGCTTCAAAGTGTCAAAAATATCCTTTTTTTATCTCTATAACTAGACTGCAGAACCGAGCCGATCAAAGAAATCCACCGGAATTGGCCGAATGTAAGAAGATGAAACAAGTTTGAGAAGCAATCATCAACAGAGGTGCTTTAGGTATAATAGGTCAATATAGGATAATGGAATCCATAAACCAATTGGACCAATTCCCCTTAAATCCAAATAGCCACTGAAATCGTCCGAACTGATGAAATTTGTACACCAGAAAAAAAAAGCTGACCAAATTTCAGAGTAGCATGTTATTTGACTACAGGTGGACAAATTTCAGAAGGCAAAAACAGTCAACGCTACTCTAAACTGGGTACTAACCAATTAAGCATGCCCAGAGATTGAAAAATCAGCAGATAACATGTCAAAATTGCAGCTCCAAAATCCAAGCCACCAAAAAATTATCAAACAAAGCAAACATCAAACATTTCAAACACTAAGAGTTCAACAAATCTCGGCACCCAAACCCATTTCGGAATATAGCCACACAGCTCCCACTCCCCAGTTCACCTTGAATTCAATCGGACGGGCAACCGAAGCAATCCATTTATGACGCCATCCACAAGGAAATTCAGCCAAAAAATAACAATATGGCTCAGGAACAGCATAATTGGCCCCCCAAAACGAGCGCACTTTACACCAAATCCACCACGGGAACAGCACCAAACAGCGCAACTTTAGCTCCCCCGTGAACCAACCAACCACCCAAACAAACAAACCACCGGACCAACCGCCGCGCCGTGCGCCGCCCACGTCGTCTCACCTGTAAACCCCGAGATCCAGCTGCTCGTCGGACGCCGAGGACCCCAGCGAGGAGCCGCAGCCGCTGGACGCCGACGCCGACACGGAGGCGGAGGCAGAGGCGGACGGCAGCGGCGCCGGCAAGGACGCCGGGCGCGGGAGCGGGAGCCCAATAACCTCCCCCGCCGCCGCCGGCGGTTGCTGCTTCCCGCGGACGCCCTTGGCGAGGAGCGCCTCGTCGAAGCTGCTCGCCTTCTTCTTCCCCTTCTCCCCCTTCACCTCGCCGGCGATGGAAACGGCCGCCGGGATCGAGCCGGCCGGCGCCGGCGACGCCGCTCCAGCCTTGCTAGACTTGCTCCTGCCCTTGCCCTTCCACCACGCCGGCATCCTGCCGCTCCACGGTGGCTTCAGAGTTTGAGAGAGAGAAAGACGGGGGGCAGAGCCTCCTCTTGAGGAAGGGGGGCAGAGCCTCCTCTTGAGGAAGTTGTAACGACCGGGGGCGCCATTGCGGGACCCGCCTGGCAGCTGCGCGTCGTAGCAGCCTGCCTGCGCGCGCGGGCACGAGTGGGTGGCGCCCGTTGCACACGTAGCGCGTAGCGGTGCGCCACCGCCCGCCCAGTGCTGGCGCGGTGGGACCACACGATGCACCAACCCCCGGCTGGAGCAAGGGGCCCGCCGCAATGACGCGTGCTGCTGGCTCGTGGGGCCGGAGGCGCCAACCGGGCCCACGCGGGACGTGGGGACCAGGTGGGTGTTGTCCTGCAGCGTGCGTGTTGGCGGGGAAGTGGAGGAGGGAGGGACAACTGGACTGGAGTGGTGGTAGGCTGACGTGTCTGGCGGGTTGGGTTGGGTTGGATTGGATTGGGTTGGCTGCTAAGCACACAGTGGTGGCCTGGTGGGAATTTATCGCTCGCGACGCTGCCACGGCCAGCACACTACTGTTTCTTTTCGTCCTTGCTGATTTTTTTTTCTCTTCGTCCTTGCATTTTGATTAGAAATACTACTAGTATAATATTTGAATTTGTTAGCTAGGGATGTTGAGATGCCGCTTTTTGTTTTTATAAGATGGGTAGTAATGGTGGTGGGAGGACTGCATGATGGGTGCGCCAGTGACTGAGAAACGTTACTTGTATTTATCTATTCTCTTGTGCCGACTAGCGAGTGTGATGTTTGTTTTAAATTCGCGTTGATATGGAACAAGGGTCAATTATCGTATACCAAACATGAAGAATTGTTTTTTTTTCTTAATCTGCCATCATGTCAACTGTCTTGCATTGTTTCTTTTATTTTGATCAAGTGTTATTATTTTGGTTGGCACATACCTAACCTTGTTCTTGTAATGATGCGTAGTATATTATTCAGTTCTGGCTACTGCATCTCATTTGAATTGAAATAACCAGTTAGAGTACTACTATGATGCCTCATTTTGTCTTCCACCGGCAAATATGCCCGTGCATTGCAACGGAACTAAATATGTATTGGAATCAGGTTCTATATCATCGATAGAAGCGAGTTGTTCTAGCTCTCGTATGGGTGTGGGTTATGAGTCCGGATCACGTATATTAGATATATAAGACGTCATCCAATACGTATTAGAATCGAGTTCCGTATTCATCATTGCTAAACACGAGTTGTGCAAACTCGTTTGAGTATGGGTCATGATTTGGGATCACATATGAAACTATGGTTTGGAAAGTAAAAAAAGCAGTACTGAAGAAACCTCCACTGTCTATGTACTCGGGGAGGTGAAAGAAAAAACAATAGATGGAGAGAAGATAGAGATTTAAAATTTTCTGATTGTAAATTGGAGTCGTTCAACGTCAGTCATGACATGAGGTCTGTCATTTGTATTGGGACAGTAATAATTAGTGATGCTGACATGAGGCCTATCAATGATGTTGAAAAGTTACTCACTCATCGTAATTATCTATTTTGTTGGAGCAAGGATAGTTTTACTCCCTCCATCAACAAAAGAATACAGTTGTGGAAACCGCGCCAGTCAAACTAGCTCACGATTGATCAACTTTATAATAAATAATATTAGTATTTATGTCTTCTAAATAAATTTATATTATAAAAATATATTTTATAACTTATGTAATGATACTTATTTTGTATCATTAATGTTAGTATCTTTTTATATAAATTTAATCAAACTTAAATTGTTTGACTCATTGAAAAACGAGAATTGTATTTTTTTATGGACGTAGGGAGTACCTCATCGGATTAAAGTTGATTCAAAGGATGAGCCATGTACCGCATAAGAATCCAAACCTGTACGCGAGTGCACAGGAGGAAAATAAGAAGGATCGGGAAACCCCTGAAACGTGCAACAGATGGACTAGTGGATGCTCCACTACAACAGAACCGAGCGCGTGGAAGTAGCAAATTTGCAGGTGCGCCTGTTGCTGTTGGCGCGGATAACGCAGCACATTCTTGTGGCAGTGCCGCAGAACGGAGAACCCAGGGACTGCCGGACTGCCTCTGCCCTCAAGAAGCAGGTGCACGCACGCGGCCAGGAAGGGCTGCGGGCGTGACGGGAGGCACGCACGCCTTTGCTTCGCGGTTGGTTCGCGTGGCCTTTACCGCGCTGCCCCCACGTCACCGGCCGGCCTTCGATTCACAGTACAATCCCTCCGTTGTGACTCGGCCCCATCCAGCCCCCGCGCGCTCTCCTCGTTTTCCTCGGTCGCCGTCGTGGTCACATGGGAAATATGCGTGTGCGCTGCGGACTGCGGTGTGCGGTGTGCGGTGTGTGTGTGTGCTGCTGGTCGCCGTACGATTCCATTCCCCGCTTCCGCCCCGCCCCGGGAAGCACACCCTTCGCTTCGCAGCCAATCCGGGTTCGGGGGTAAAGGCCTCTCATAATCGTTGATCCGGAAGCAAGCGCCACCAACGGTGAAAAGGAAACCATCCAAGATTGAATACGGGGATTCAATTTAATTTGGGAAACCGATACTCCAACTACGTGCATGCAGTATGTTTTCTACTTATGAAACATTCTGTCAGATTGCTGTAGGATTTTATACGTTTTATTAACTTTTTTTTGGGTTCCAAACATGTCCTACAGTCCTACTTCGATCGATGCCGTAGCTTAGCTACATGTGCAACTTCACCCGCGTGGTTTACGTACCTCCATGGCATCCGATACATTCCAAGCATTTGCCACCACCCGCCGGCCTCAGTGGCATGCATGCAAGGGTGTGTACAGTTACAAAGCACCTTTCTTTTTCATTCATCGTCACATGCAATTAATGGCCATCGCCTTCGCTCTATATATCTCGGCAATATCATCATCAAAGTCATCGCTATCGATCGGCATCCCCTCGTGGGCACACCACCACCTACATCGCACCCACCACTACACGGATCACAACCTCTAGCTCTCACCATCGCTAATGCTAACATAAGAGCAACTCCAGTGAGACCCTTACTTAACCTCCCATAGCTAAATATAGGGGCTCAGGCCAAAAACATAGCTCCAGCAGGGTCCTTACTAGAGCCCCCAGTTTGGGGTGAGCACTCAAATCTCCCCCTCGGACCCCATTCTTGTTGGCCCAACAGCCGACCCCCATCCTTTGGTTGTGTTGTTTCTCTCCGCCCATGCAACACGGAACCATGCGACGGCGCTCGTCCTCGCTCCTCGCTGCCCCGCCCTCCGCCGCGCAAGCGTGCTGGTGCTCTGCTCCACCGCACGAGCACGCGGGCCTCTCTCCGTTGGCGCCCGCCGCTTGCCCCTTGCCAAATGAGCGTCTTTGGTGCTCTGCTCGCCGCAGGAGGTGCTCCACTGTGGTGGCGCTTCTGCCCTGGCTGGCTGGCACGTGAGCCTCTCCTCCGCGACGACAGCGTTCTTCCCGCAGCACACCGCCGCCTTTCCGCACCCTTGACTGGGAGGTGAAGCCCCACGGCAAGTCCGCCGCCGCGCTCATCCACGTCACACTCGGATGCTACGCCTGCGAGGGCCGCATGCCGCTGCTCGGCACCGACCCCACTGGCTTCGTCCTGGGCTGTGTGTGTGGAGGATGTGGGGAAGAAAGATTTAAGTCAATGACAAGTGGGTCCCCTACGTTGGATTTAGGTGCCTTCATTTGGGTGGTTCTGATGGAATAGAAGCAAAATTTTAGGCACCCATAAGTAGGGGGAGCACCCAAAAAAAAATAGGGGCCCTGTTTTAGGGGCTACTGCTAGAGTTGCTCTAATATATCTACCTTGCTACGGTACCATGTCATTAATTTAACAATCGCACATTGTCATCGTGTGTGATATGATAAAAGGGGCTGCTAGTGCTCGGACGTCTGATCTGGATGTTTAGCCTCAGACGGTGCAAATTCCCGCTGAAACGTTAATATGCGCATAAATAAAAATCCCGCACCTCACCATGCTTATCTATACGCCCGCCCGCACACCTAACACGCCCCGCCATCACAGGCGCACCCCTGCCCCATCGTGTCCTCAACCGTCGACCCCCAGTGCACCACCAGCCACCGGCTCACCACGTCCCATTCCTCGGCGCCCCCTGACTCTCCGAATAGCGTGAAACACGTGTGTTGATATTTATTAACGCATACAGATAAATCCGTAAGCGCACGGATACCACTATAGCTTTCACTCGGAAGTATTCCAAGTATCGTATCCACAGAAAAACATGTGAGATTAACTACAATCTAATTTAACTAGGAGTAGCAACAATACTTAAGATAAATAGGAGCATAGAGAAGACTACGAAGTTATGCTATGCCTTCTATTGTTCAATTTTGGGGATATTACTAAGGAAAATATAGGCATAGTATGTTTTCTATAGTAACTAGGATCCATAAATACTACATATATTAAGAGACTTAAGAGTGTCATACAATAGAAAGCTCTAAGTTTTATTTTAAAAATATATAAAAACTCTAGAATAATGGTTGAGCAAAGAACATGAGACACAGTGCTTGACTTGATTGTTCTGTCTTTCAATTGCTCAAGACCTAAGTGAAGGCTACAAGCCCAATGGTTGAAGGTAATATGGGTAAATTTAAAAGTCAGATCAGTTTATTCTAATACCAGAGGTGTTTGAACACATGTGTACTTTTGAGTTGCTACAATATTTTCAAAATCCTTAAACTCCAATTCCATTTACTAAGTTTAGTTTTGCTAAGGGACTAGCAAAAGGTAATCTTGGGTAACTTGTTGACGGTAGTTAACAACCAATTTAAACCGTCAATTAAACATGTATAAGGGCCTAAATATAGTCACCAATAAAGGTTTAGAGGTTTAAACTAATAAATTCCACGAGTTTTAGTGAATCTGTGTTTCCAGCAGGGTTTAATCAGTAAACTGCCAAGGAGGACCTAATTGTCAAAGAAAAATATGAAATTCCACCGCGGTACCTACGTGGGAAGACT